CAATTAAGTATATAAATAACTGTTTTAAGCTGCAATAAAGTAAACATGTGGGATCACAAACATACACAAAAACACACATCCACGATTACAAGACAGTTAATTTCACCAGCAGGACATGCAGTGTCACTCAGATAAAAAAAAATGTTTACATCGTTGCATATTATTTACACACTAAGTTATGAGAAAGTCTCTTATTTCCAGCTTTAAATCTTTGTACATATACATATATCCATATTTACAGCAGCTCTTACTTCCCATCAACAAAGTCACAATGACCTGAAAGACTCACTGTATTGGAAACATGAAGCAGAGACACCAGATATGAGAACAGAGAGAAAATCTCCCTGAAGGTTGTTTGAAATGCACACATGTATGTGAGAAGAGACAGAGCCAGAGATCTGCTGGGACACGCCATTAAAGGGAATGCTGACTGCTGTAAAACGCGATTAAATGGAACGTTGTCTGATGTGACACGCTGTTAAAGGGAACACTGTCTGATGGGACACGTTGGTAAAGGGAACGCTGTCTGATGGGACATGCTGTTAAACTGAATGCTGTCTGATGGGACACGCTGTTAAAGGGAACGCTGTCTGAGGGGACATGCTGTTAAACTGAACGCTGTCTGATGGGACACGCTGTTAAAGGGAACGCTGACTGATGGGACACGCTGTTAAATGGAACGCTGACTGATGGGACACGCTGTTAAATGGAACGCTGACTGATGGGACACGCTGTTAAATGGAACGCTGACTGATGGGACACGCTGTTAAAGGGAACGCTGACTGATGGGACACGCCATTAAAGGGAACGCTGACTGATGGGACACGCTGTTAAATGGAACGCTGACTGATGGGACACGCCATTAAAGGGAACGCTGACTGATGGGACACGCCGTTAAATGGAACGCTGACTGATGGGACACGCTGTTAAAGGGAACGCTGACTGATGGGACACGCTGTTAAAGGGAACGCTGACTGATGGGACACGCTGTTAAATCGAACGCTGACTGATGGGACACGCTGTTAAAGGGAACGCTGACTGATGGGACATGCTGTTAAATCGAACGCTGACTGATGGGACACCTTGTTAAAGGGAACGCTGACTGATGGGACACGCTATTAAATGGAACGCTGACAGATGGAGCACGCTGGTAAAAGGAACACTGACTTATGGGACTTGCCGCTAAAGTAAACACAAACTGATGGGACACGCCGTTGAAGGGTACGCTGACTAATGGGACACGCTTTTAAATAGAACGCTGACTGATGGGACAAGGTGTCAATGGGAACGCTGACTGATGGGACACGCTGTTAAAGGGAACGCTGACTGATGGGACACACTTTTAAAGGAAATGCTGATTGACGACACATGCCATTAAATGGAACACTAACCGATGGGGCTCGCCACTAAAGTGAATGCAAACCATAGGCGGATCTACTGGGGGGCATAGGGTGGCAAATGCCACCCTAAATGACAGCCTTGCCACCCCTGCTGCCACCCCAGTTGGCGGTAGGGGTGGCAAGGCTTATAAATTATGGATAATCTGAGAATTACGACCGCTAATTTCCAATGTCGGACTGCAGTGAATGCAGCACGAGATGACGCGAGAGCGACTGAGACTGATTAGTTTTGAAAACTGAGCGGGGCAAAGCGAGGGAGCCAGGGTTAATGGAGAGAGGAGACACGGGATGAAACAGGTAAAAACTGTTTAACTATCTATCCAGAAATTAAATCATAATGAAAGCACAATGTTGCTAGCATAGCTGCAATGCTGATTTTGAGATGATAAAAATCAGGTTGCAGAACGTTATTTCTCTATCTATGATGTTAGTTAGGCCTGACGTCTCAGGCTCATAAAGACATATTTGCGGTCAATCTGATATTTCCTTTAATAAAACCAAAAGTGTTAAAAGTAAAGGTAAAAATGTGATACTGGTGTAAATCCTGCTTAATATGAAGCAGTGTTGTTGTTTCGAAACTATCCAGAAATGATCTGTATGAACCTACTCACTAAATGTTTTGTACTTTTTCAGACTGGAAGCAAAATGTATTTTTATGTTGCTTCTTTTCAGATTTGTGGAGATTTTGATGTAACATACAGTACCTGCCTTTTTGTTGATTTGTTCATACAGCAGCTCTGTCTACAACATATTTACATGCATGATGCATGAATTGTCCCTTTCATGTTGCCTAAACTGCTGTATGTCAAGTTACTGAGGAACAAATGTGGTAAATGTGTGTTCAGAGTAAACAATACATAGATGTCTGGTACCTTGTTTTGGTGCCTTAACCCATTTATTTCTACTGTGTAATAATGCTCACTTTAGTACACCTCAGTCCATAGATCTCTGTGTCTTACCTTAATACCTTTCCTGTGATAATGCCCCTCTAGAAGTAGTGCTATCATTCTTCTATCTCCTATTAAGTGAGATCACATTGTACGATGTATTACTAATATGAACTGCTTCACATGAAACACTGACTGTACATACTATTCTCACCAAACTGTGATAACCGTTATTAAATTCAGTGTAAACAAATGCCATATGTCGCCACCCCTCAAAAATTCCTGCCCCCCTCTTGCCACCCCATAAATATTTTTCTAGATCCGCCCCTAATGCAAACTGATGAGACACGCTATTAAAGTGAACGCACACTGATGGAACTTAATGTTAAAGAGAATGCAGACTCATAGGACACGCCACTAACTGGAACGCAGACTGATGGGATATCTATCGTTAAAGGGAACACAGACTGATGGGACACGCCATTTAATGTAAAGCTGACTGATGGGATACCCATCGTTAAAGGCAGAGATGGGAAGTAACGAAGTACAAATACTTCGTTACTGTACTCAAGTAGATTTTTCTGATATTTTTACTTTACTTTACTACTTATTTTTATGGCGACTTTTTACTTCTACTCCTTACATTTTTACACAAATATCTGTACTTTCTACTCCTTACATTTTAAAAAATTGTCTCGTTACTTTAGTTTTGAATCATTTCAATGGAGTTACCGTTATTATTTTTCACGTCATCAATACCAAATTCAATCTAATTGGATGGGAATCTACGTTGCATTTGACGCACCACTACAAGATGAATCGACAGATTCGGCGGTATTCATTCGCGGCAAATCATTGCAGCTTGGTGGCGGTGGCGTTAGCATAGTAGCATGGACGACGAGATGATTGAAAATGAACACAACGGAGATCTAGTCCTATTGGCAGACATCCATTTAAAATGTAGGCAACGGCATGAAAAAAGTGGTTTCTACTTTTACTTTTATACTTTAAGTAAATTTACAAGCCTGTACTTTGTTACTTTTACTTGAGTAAAGAAGTTTAATCCGTACTTCCACTTTTACCAGAGTATTTTTTAACACAAGTATCTGTACTTTTACTCAAGTACAGAAAATGAGTACTTTTGCCATTTCTGGTTAAAGGGAACGCAGACTGATGGGACATGCTTACCTAAGCAAGTAACTCTTCAATATTAGCTTATTCATTTAAATAAAGCATGAAGAATATTTAATATATTCCTTTGGATTTAAATCTAGAATTTGACTTCCTAAAGGTCTAAAATGAAGATACAGTTAGAAAATTTAGTCATTGAAGTCAAAATTTCTACAAAACGTTCTAATTATAAAGAATTGTAAACCATGAAACTTTTCATCTATACATTCAAACCTGAAACATCTGTTTACATTATTTGCTTCCATGCAAGTCCCCAAAACGGTATTTTTAACCCTCTAAAGTCAGAAAAAACAAGAAAAAAATCACAATATTCTTAACTTTCACCTTAAAGGTGGTGAGAACACAGCTTGTTACACGTCAAAAAAAAAAGTTAAACCTTTTCTACCTCTTTTATGTTTTTTTCGTACAGAACTATGAGGTTAACACGTGTTTCTTTATAGGTTTAAGTTTTAATTGCATGTAAGGTAAATAAAAAAAATATGTATATTATATACAAGCTTTGCCCAGCCTCTTTCCTTCTAACTATTTATGGAAGCGTGCAGTAAAGCAGCAGTACCATCCTGTTACTGGGCTGCACTGGGAACAGGGTTTAGAGAGTTTGTTCACACTGTAACATGTGAGATAACAAGACTCCATGGATCCTCAAATGACCAACTGAATAAGGAGCTTCCTTCACACTGAAAAGGACCCCACTTCTTCTCAACTAACCAGAAGGTGAAGGGTCATAGCAGGCTCTATATGGAGCCTTTTTATCTTGTTTTCATCCTGAGGCTGCAGCAGACAGTTCTGCCTGTTCCCCACATCACAGACGAGCTCTGCTGGGTTTAGATCTGGGGACCGTGAGGGCCGTTATGCGCTCATCGTCATGTTAAAAAAACTGCTCTGAGCTTGAGCCATGCAGCATTATTCATAATCCATCAGCAAGCAGCCATCTAGAAATGGTTACCAGGTGGCCAAGAAGAGACGGACATGTTCACCAACAGCCCCAAGGGAGGCTCTCTGGTCCCTAAGAGACACTTAGTTTTTACCGAGGAGCCAAAAGAAGGGCAAGATGTGGAACAGATCATCACAGCACCCCCTTCACCCTGAACCATAGATACCAAGCAGGATGGATCCTTTGAACCTTGGCACAAAGAGTTTTATATGAGCTACTGAGATTCAACTATCAAAACAATATGGCAGTGGCAGGTGTAAACGCTAAAAAAAAAAAGAAAAAAAAAAAAATATATATATATCCATCCTATTTTAGCCATGTCTCTAGGGGGCGCTGTCTTCCTCTGACTGCTTCTGATCTTCATCTTTTTAAAATGCAGTAAGGTCCAGCTTAGTGTTTCCATTACAGTTTGGAGAAATATAGCAGTTTTGAAATGACGAACAATCAGTCCTCTATTAGCTGCTAACAGATGAGCTAACACAGCGGTTAACAGAACGGCTACCTGTGACTGATCACTGATCCTGACCTTTATGTTCCTGTTCCTCTGGAATATAGAGTACAGTATTAATATCATTGATTGATATTTAATTTTTTTACATTTATTATTGAAGGGTAAAGATATTTTTCTTCCAAATATTCTTCTATTAAAGTAAAGCTTTTATCTCTACTTCTAACAAAATATACAAGTATACCAAATGGAAAGGATTTCTTAAACTCATGTGGTTGAAAATGGATGCGTAAATATGGCACAGCATGAAATTATGGAAGGATTAATAATTCCTACACATTGTTACTTCTTTCTGCACATGTATCGGTTGGTGGATGGTCTAAGTCCAGCTCTCCATCCAACCGCGTCTCCTCAGGACTCCTTCTGAACCCGGGGCCGTCAGGGCCAACCTGGGCTCGATATTCAGCCGTCATCCCATTCACTGACGCTCTCTCCTGATGCTCACTGCTATTACGCTTTCCTTTCAAGTCAGATGAAGTCTCCAGGTCAGCCTTCTCCTCATTTTCATTGGCATGGCTGCTGTTTTGTTGGACGTGTCGAGGATCTCGGATGGTTCCAAAGCCAGTTTGGGCAGTCGATAGTGTCCGCTGAGTTCCCTCAAGTCGCTGGCAGCTGTAAAGACCTCGAAATGCAGAGCGAAACTTCTGAGACATGGCATTGTAAATCACAGGGTTTATGGCACTGTTGGCATAGATGCAGGTCCGACAGAACAAGAGGAACCAGGAATCCAGGTAGGGTGTTGGCACAAAGGAGTTGATCAGAACCAAGGTCCGGTAGGGCATCCAGAGCAGAGCAAAAAGGATCACCACCACAGCAAGCATCTTGGTCACCTGCAGGGTGAATAACAAAAGAAAAGCTGCTGCAATAACACTTTTTTTTTTTAAACTAAACCTTAATGGTGAAAGTTGCTGGGAAGAAGGAATTGCCCAGACCTCCTCATCATACTTTAAACCTGATCTTTCAGATCTTTAAACTAAGAACACCAGAGTAAAAAGTTGACTGCAGGTTTGCATTATTTCACTATATAGCAAAAAATAAGTACAATCAAAAAATTGTGAAATATATTCCTCTTGTTACATAACTCAGTAAAACAGAGAGATTAGAAAAAGGAAATCCCGGATAAAAGCCATCAGCCAGTAGTGACTTCATGCAGGTCTTACATTCTACACCTAAGGATGAACATTAGCTGCCGTTTGAATGGACTCAGCTGCAAGGACCAGACCAACGGTGAGTGCTTTGGAATTGGAACAAACCACTGCTCATTCACAGGCTTAGGATTGACACATGATGTCCCATTATCCCATATTATGCAAAATTCACATTTTCTAAAAGTTGTATGTGTCCCGAAGCCCGTGTTTGAGGTTTACAAATGAATTTAAAAAAAAAATGTCCCCCTCTCTCACTGCCTTATTCCACCTCTCAGGTAATGTGTGCTCAAAATGCATTGTTTCAAAATTGTTTAGGATCAAATATCAATGATGTAAGCAGAAGAGGGTGTGTCTCGATGTCTAATCCCTGCAATACAGTTTACTCAAGCTGCCGACTCTATCTAAAAGGTCTCTGTCCTGTAGCTTTCAGGCCTTGATAGAGGAGACACATGCCGGTTTTCAGTTGAGGCTATGTTGTAGTCACCAAATCAGACTGCCCCCTGTCCACCATATAGAGGAGCTGAGCGTAGCAAATTGTTTTTCCTGCGTTAAAACCAAGTTGAAAGCAGGTTTTTTTGTGAACATGCCTGCTGAAGCTGATGAGAAACTGTCCAGTTCTGGCCGACCCATGGAACAGCCGGGCCCAATTTGCTGTTCACCGAGGAGTCGCTTGAAGCCTTCGACCCGTGGTACATCGGTTCTGAAGCTACTGAAGAACTGTGAAGCCATCTGACGGTGACCCACTGGTTCGGCTGCTGTTTGGCGCTACGCTGCCGCTGCTACAGGCTATCCGCCACCTTAAGGAGACCCTTCGCCCCCTCCGTGCCACTGAGCCAATAAGTAAAAATCTTTTCCTGGCTTCCATCTGATGCTTAACAAATATTTAATATACAGTGGGAACGGAAATTATTCAAACCCCTTTACATTTTTCACTCATTTCAGCAAATGAGTAGGGTTCAGTAGGGTTCATTTTATTTCTCATATTTCTCACTTATCACCCCATCTTGACAGAAAAAAAAATGTAGAAATGGTTGCAAAATTTGTTAAAAAGAAAAACTGAAATATCAAATTGTCATTGCTCAGTATTGAGTAGAAGCAACCTTTTGAGCTAGTGTAGCCATGATTCTTCTTGGGAATGATGCAACAAGTTTTTCACAGCTGGATTTGGGGATCCTCTGCCATTCTTCCTTGCGGATCCTCTCCACTTCTGACAGGTTGAATGGTAAGCGTTGGTGAACGGCCATTTTCAGGTTTGTCCAGAGACGCTCAATTGGGTTTAGGTCAGGGCTCTGGCTGGGCTAATCAGGAATGGTCACAGAGTTGTTCCCAAGCCCCTCCTTTGTTATTTTAGTTGTGTGCTTAGGGTCATTGTCTTGTTGGATGATGGTACCTGCCCTGCACCTGAAAAATAATTGATGTGAATGCAATGTGTTGTCTTGTGTCTAATCTGGTTATCTGAGCAAATGTTTCAGGGACAGTGGAGCAGAACAAACTCCTAATAAAGTTTAGAGCATAAAATGAGGAACAAATCAGCAAGAAGTTCCCCACAAAGCAACTCTGGGAGTGAGTAGTCTTACATGCTGTTTTAATAATCTAATTCTGATCATGCATTTTAGCACCCTAATGTTCATCACTGTAGGACAGCAGTCAAAGAGCTCGGCCTTAAGGGGAAAATCACTGGCCAAAAGGCAGCAAAAAAGTGGGAGCCGAGTTCAACTTCCACACTGCGCCCCCACCAACGCCAATGCCATCAACAGCAGCAGGCCCTTTTGCTCCTTCCTCATCAGCTGCACAAACACCCCCACTTCATCTCCCAGAAAGAGGGCAGAAGACACAATAATGCTCTTTTTGATTTCTTCAAACAAGAGTTGGAAAAGTAGTAAAAAATCCATGAGTAAACTGAAGCCTTAACTGAAAGGTTCCTCAGCCTGTTTAAAAAGCAAAGAAAAAATGCTGTTAAAGCTGTGGTGTGTTTACCTTTTAGTGTGCAATCAGTTTTAGCTTGTTTGGATGTTTTTTTTTCAGTTTGTTTTGAAATATTGTTCCATTTTTGTTGTATAGTTTCATATTTTATACTTTTGTAAAATGTAAGTTCAGCTTCCTGAATACAAATATTTTTATAAATCAAATTGCTTGGTCGTGGTTTTTTGACTAAGCATCACCAATTCATACAGTATGTCACATTATAAAACGAACGACAAAGTAATTGTACAAAATATAGGACTTTAATAAAATGTATTAAAAATATGATACCGAGCAACAATATACAATTAACAATAATTATATACAAATTCCTTTAACACATATCAAACATGTGCCTGCACTTAAGTATTAACAGGTTTTGCCTGCATGGTTATTGAATATAAACCTTTATAATTTAAATGATGCTGCCTTAATTTTAATGTGGCAACAATCAATTGCACCTGCAGCTTAATTGAGCAGGGTTGCCCCAGAAAGTTGACCAAATCCATGACCCACAGTCTCCAGAGCTGCTGGCTTGGAAAGGATATTGCTCTGCTCAAATTGTCCCAAATAAACTGTGCTACCTTGTGGACAATTCTATGGATGGTGGACCTGGGAATATTAAAAACACATGAAAGGACGTGGTAGGACAGACCGTGGGTAAGCCAGTAAACATATATCAGAACTTCAAGCTAACGGCAACAGACATGGTCCTGTTCTCTCCTCAGCAGGCACTGCAGGGCATGCACGGCCTTCCTGCTCAGTCTGAAGTCCTGGATGAGTTCCAACTGTGAAACCTCAAGCAAAGAATGGATACATTCCTGTCCAACCTACAGGAGGTTAGCGCACAGCCACTCTGGAGACAGAATAGGCAACAACAACAAGCTTTAAGACATGTTCATAAGCACAGGAAAATAAAAAAAAAGCTTTTACTTTTGTTTTCTATGTATGCATAATGAGAATACATTGTTTTTCTAACATTATTATACCAAAACTGCATCATAAAAAATGAGTCCACATACCGTAAACAGATTAATAAGAGCGAGATAGTGGCCAGTCTTCATTTTTCCAAATTTCTTCTCTCTTGGTTGGCCACACGGAGAAGCAATAGGTAAAGTAACTGCTAGGGTTGGCCGGCGTTTCTAAATATGTACAAAGACCCAGAACAAAAACACACAGAGGGTTGTGACTGACGCTGTGTTTATGCATGACATAAGTGAACACATCATGCGTAGGGTATTACCGGCATCTACTGGGCTGGGCTGTCATTGCGGTGTCCCATCTCTAAGGGAGAATCTTCACTTGCACCTCCCTCATATTGAGTGGACTTCATTGTGGAGGGAACTTACTGGAGTGTTTTTGGAACCAAGTGAGAGAAATGGGACTGGGTCTTAGACAATCTTTACTGTCATTTGGTATACACAGAGTGTGAACATACACTATATTGCCAAAAGTATTTGCTCACCCATCCAAATTATTGGAATCAGGTGTTCCAATCACTTCCATGGCCACAGGTGTATAAATTCAAGCACCTAGGCATGCAGACTGTTTTTACAAACATTTGTGAAAGAATGGGTCGCTCTCAGGAGCTCAGTGAATTCCAGCGTGGAACTGTGATAGGATGCCACCTGTGCAACAAATCCAGTCGTGAAATTTCCTCGCTCCTAAATATTCCACAGTCAACTGTCAGCTGTATTATAAGAAAATGGAAGTGTTTGGGAACGACAGCAACTCAGCCACGAAGTGGTAGGCCACGTAAACTGACGGAGCGGGGTCAGCGGATGCTGACGCGCATAGTGCGAAGAGGTCGCCAACTTTCTGCAGAGTCAATCACTACAGACCTCCAAACTTCATGTGGCCTTCAGATTAGCTCAAGAACAGTGCGCAGAGAGCTTCATGGAATGGGTTTCCATGGTCGAGCAGCTGCATCCAAGCCATACATCACCAAGTGCAATGCAAAGCGTCGGATGCGGTGGTGTAAAGCACGCCGCCACTGGACTCTAGAGCAGTGGAGACGCGTTCTCTGGAGTGACGAATCGCGCTTCTCCATCTGGCAATCTGATGGACGGGTCTGGGTTTGGCGGTTGCCAGGAGAACGGTACTTGTCTGACTGCATTGTGCCAAGTGTAAAGTTTGGTGGAGGGGGGATTATGGTGTGGGGTTGTTTTTCAGGAGCTGGGCTTGGCCCCTTAGTTCCAGTGAAAGGAACTCTGAATGCTTCAGCATCCCAAGACATTTTGGACAATTCCATGCTCCCAACTTTGTGGGAACAGTTTGGAGCTGGCCCCTTCCTCTTCCAACATGACTGTGCACCAGTGCACAAAGCAAGGTCCATAAAGACATGGATGACAGAGTCTGGTGTGGATGAACTTGACTGGCCTGCACAGAGTCCTGACCTCAACCCGATAGAACACCTTTGGGATGAATTAGAGCGGAGACTGAGAGCCAGGCCTTCTCGTCCAACATCAGTGTGCAACCTCACAAATGCGCTTCTGGAAGAATGGTCAAAAATTCCCATAAACACACTCCTAAACCTTGTGGACAGCCTTCCCAGAAGAGTTGAAGCTGTTCTAGCTGCAAAGGGTGGACCGACGTCATATTGAACCCTATGGATTAGGAACGGGATGTCACTTAAGCTCATATGTGAGTCAAGGCAGGTGAGCAAATACTTTTGGCAATATAGTGTACCTCGGGAACTCTTGAATGGACTATTAAATCCCTTTTTGCCCTTTTTGTTTGCTTTTATTTACTTGTGCTTATTTTTCAGGAGTGTTTAGTGTTTGCTAAGTTGTTTGATATAATAATGATGTGATAAGGATTATTAGGTAATTATTTGATAATAATTGGAAGTGGTGGCCTTGTGCAGAAATGGCAAAAGTACTCACTTTCCGTACTTGAGTAAAAGTACAGATACTTGTGTTAGAAAATACTCTGGTAAAAGTGGAAGTACTGATTAAACTTCTTTACTCAAGTAAAAGTAACAAAGTACAGGCTTGTAAATTTACTTAGAGTATAAAAGTAAAAGTAGAACCACTTTTTTTATGCCGTTGCCTACATTTTAAATGGATGTCTGCCAATAGGACTAGATCTCCGTTGTGTTCATTTTCAATCATCTCGTCGTCCATACTACTATGCTAACGCCACCGCCACCAAGCTGCAATGGTTTGCCGCGAATGAATACCGCCGAATCTGTCGATTCATCTTGTAGTGGTGCGTCAAATGCAACGTAGATTCCCATCCAATTAGATTGAATTTGGTATTGATGACATGAAAAATAATAATGGTAACTCCATTGAAATGATTCAAAACTAAAGTAACGAGACAATTTTTTAAAATGTAAGGAGTAGAAAGTACAGATATTTGTGTAAAAATGTAAGGAGTAGAAGTAAAAAGTCGCCATAAAAATAAGTAGTAAAGTAAAGTAAAAATATCAGAAAAATCTACTTGAGTACAGTAACGAAGTATTTGTACTTCGTTACTTCCCATCTCTGGCCTTGTGGTTGGGGCATTGCACTTGGAATCCAGAGGTTCTGAGTTCAAGCCCCACTCCCACAGACTTCCACTTTGGATCCCTGAGCGAGGCCCTTAACCCCACAGTGCTCCCCGTGTGCTGCACCGTGACAGCCCACTGCTCCCCAAGTGTCAGGAATCCAGTTTGTGTGGTCTGTATTTGTGTTTCCTTTCCTCCTCCACCAGGTGGTGCCCCGTCCTCATTGGGTCTTCCTGCACACCTGCAGCTCATTTCCTCATTACCTGTGGAGTGCTCTTAAGCTACTGACTGCCACTACCTCGAGGCCAGAGTGTTTACCAATACTGGGTACTCTAGCCATGCTTAGTTTAGCAGAGTCTAACCTGAGTTTTTGTTTGCCAGTTTTGGATTCTCTAGTCAAGCTGAGTTTTTCTGACTCAAACTGAGTTTTTGTCAACCTGAGTCTTAACTTTGTTTTTGTCTTTGCCTCTCGGCAGGAAGTCATCCTGCAAACTGGATTTGTTCGGTTCTTCTCTCTCTGGAAGGTTCAACTTAGCTTCTAACTGAGCTGGGGTTCCAAACAGGAAGTTTGGACCCACTTTCCCCAAGAGGTTGTTTGAGCTTCACACCGAGCAAAGGTTTCATCTGCACCGCAGCCCGTTCAAGTACCGCAGAAAATCACAGTGGCAGTCAGCTTCTCCATTCACTCCAAACAGGAAGTTTGGATCAACTTTTCCCAAGAGGTCGTTTGAGCTTCACACCAAGCAAAGATTTCTTCAGCACTACAGCTCGTTCAAGTACTGCAGGAAATCTGAGTGGCAGTCAGCTTCTCTATTCACCAGGGAACAACCGCAGTCTGAGTAACCCAGTCCACCCATCACCAAACAAGACCATCTCTTGTACAATCCTCACAGTCTGGATTCCATAAAGGACACCTTTCCCTGGAGAAGTGAGTCTGCAACCTTTTCCTCCAATTCTAAACCTAAGATTCAAATTTCCCACTGAGCCTGAACTAACCGCAGTGTCTTCCCCTCACCTTCCAGTTCCCCGTTGAGCAGTGTTCAGAGCAACACTGGACTCATTCCCTTCTACTCTGAGCAGCACTGGTTTCATCACATTTTTCCTAAATAAACCTGTTTAAACTTTTCGCTGGTCTCTCTGTTTGGACTTCTGCATCTTGGGGTCAGACCTTTAATACAATCATGACACCAAGGGGGATGGGTTAAATGCAACAAGTTAATTTCTCCATTGTGAGATCAATAAAGGTCAATATATTTTTCTATATTTTATTTATAATGTATTATATTTTAACTTGTGATCAATTTATCACTTGGGTCAGATCCACCCTCCTTTAAGTAACATCTGAATGAGCACAGACATATTTCTTTGGTTTTTGAATGACAACTCTGCTCATAGCCATAGTCTAAATTACTGTAATAATGAAGGCAACAACATTTTAACAGCCAATCTAGGAGTCGAATCTTTGTGTAAAAAATAAAAACCATGATAAGAAAATTGGTTATAATCATTCAACTAATAATGATAACTGTTTTACCCTCAATTTGAATGACATATTAATTAGCTATAACTTCCAGTTGTAGTTATTTAATACATTGATAATCTTTTGGTAAAATTGCACTTTTATTGGCGTCCTTGGGTGGTCTAAAACTAAAATGGTCTCAGACCACCCATAAATACAGGGGCACAACTACATATTTTTGAGGTGGATACGAAAACAAATAATCGGCACCCCCTATCCCCCAGTACAGTAACCAATCTCGTTCAACTTTCTCTCCATTAAACAGTAAACAAAAACAGTATCCTTTGGAAAAACACTTCTTACTCTTCTCTGCTCTTGGATATGGGCCATCAGAAACTTTCGGTGGGCCATATTCAACCATGTACTGCCTAAATATGTCCCCCATTTTGTGTGGTAAAGGCCATTCAGAGGGATCTTCTGAATAAAGCCTTGTCTCAGCAGTCTCCTCTGCAGCTCTCTGCTCCTCTCCCTCTTCATCATCTGAACCTCTATGCTCCTCTCCCTCTTCTTCATCATCTGGTCCTCTCTGCTCCTCTCCCTCATCTGCACCTTTCTGTTCCACATACTCCCAATTTTCCCAAAAAAGAACACAATGAGAGATGGTCATCAGAAATTCAAACCATTATGTTATATAGGTTTTTGCTGCCTTCCTAATGAATTTATTCCTACCTGATGTCTTCACTTGTCTCTTCTATTACTGACCTCATGTCTGTCTCCTTGACCCCTTGTCTGTGGCATTCTCCACTAAGTCATATGGTCAAAAAGCATTATAAATTAGTTGTACAAATTAGAGATCTTAATACAGTTTTTAAAAATAATGTTTAAACATTATCGATTGGGATTAAGTAGCTGTTCCCTCACTTCCACTTACTATCAGACCAACCTGTTGCTTTCCCCTGTCTGTCCTGATTCTTCCTCTGTCATCTTCTCTTCTTTCTCTCCATCCTCACAGCTGAATTAAATTAATTGTATGTTAAGTAGGGTTAAAAAATACAGCAGTCAAACTACAATAAAAATTTATATTTAAAATTGAATGATCTTCTTGTTGGAAAAGAGTTACTGACTGGACACTGCATCTGATCTGACTTATCAGATACATCACAACACCACTGTAGTGATACTGAATAAAACATTTAAACTCCAGTGTCCCCCTGCCAAAAAGGTTGGTAACATGGGTCACCGAGTCTAAGGGCTATAATGACACTGGATTAATGTGTCTGATACACACATAAACTTGTACAACTCATCTTTAATCAAAAACACAACATTTTAGCTTTCCTGTGTTAATATTTCACAAGTTTTATTTCGGTCATTCTTACACTTAGTGTGTGTGTTACAGGCGTATGTATCAGATATTCCTAGAAATACGGAACAAATCGCGTTCCTTATCGCTTCAATAGGGGACGCAACATTTTACAGCCAAATATGGGGCGACTCCGTATCAGACTAGCTTTATCTGACCTGCATATTTACAACCCTCCTGTCCTGTTGTCGATACACTGACAGAACTTACCTACTGTCTTTCAACCACATTGAAAGGCTTTTTTTCATCCCGCCAACAACTTTATCTTTCTCCCTTTTTCCTTTTCTGTTTTGCGCCCCGGACAGTTTTTTTTTTTTTTCTGGCGCCCCACCTTGCTGTTAAAGGAATAGTACACCCAAAACATGATTAGCCTTCATTTTCTACTCACCCCCATGCTGAACAACACTCTGGAGTACTTTTTTGATATCTCAAATGCATCTGGAGATCTGGGAGGCTTCTTGCTGTCTGCTGACATTCAAATAATGGAGGTCTATGACGCCCGAGGCAGAAAGGTCCATAAAAGTCCACAAAAAACGTGTCAATATTAATAATTGAGTGCTGCACAGATTTCTTAAAGGGAGGACACAGGACACAGCCCCCCTCTATTGGTTCCTCTATGAAATTGGCCTCTGACTCCATTAGGTGACTGAGGCATGCAATTATAACCACACTAGCTGTTTTCTGGTGGAGGGGATCATCTTCCCCTAGTGACCACTTTCTTTAGTGCCCCTTTGTTCCACCATGTGGCTTGAATGTGTCAAAGCAATCACTCTTTCAATTTCACAGGTGAAGTCACTATGTCTCTCCCTGATGATCTCCTCTTTGAATTACAGCGCTACCTTATTTGAGGAGTTTTCATCTTAATTCTGTCTTATTGTTGTCTTTTTTTTGTTGTTGTGGATAAACAGTGTTAAGGGATAATTTTAGAATGGTGATTTTACCTGACCTGAAAATCTGAGTTTAATTACACAATTTGTCTGTCATCTTTGCCACTTCTGAAGGGATATCTAAACACTGCATTTATGCTTTTCTGTGCTAGAGTTTGTCTTGTGCAGGATGCGTGTACAGAGGTCGTCCTCCAAGGCATGGGAGCCACATAGAATGGCTTTTACCAACACACCTTTGTAGAGGTGACATCACCTGAGAAAAAAAACGGCAGAATTCTGAGATTTAAAAAATGAAAATAGAAAAATTACCCAATCAGTCAGATTCAATA